GTGCTGCTCCAGCAGTCAACATCCACTGATATTCTCCATACTATATGTTACTATTCATCTAAGCTCAAACGACACCAGAAAAATTATGCTCTAGCTCTTGTGGTGTCCTTTGAACATTTTGACGAGTATTTGGGCACTTTCCCATTTAAAATTTACGTAATTTTATGTACAAATACCTTTTGTTACTTGCTATGTCAAATTCAGTAGAGTAACTTAATCCCTCCAGCCCATATTAACTATGTATACTCATGTCATGTCTAATTATTATATTTATATATTCACAGTAGTGTTGTGTATGAGGAGGAGACATAAGCTGAGTGATGAGTGGGTAGTGTCGTGTGGGAGATGTTACTGCTTGGCAGAACACTGTCCTGCCGCAGACCCCCCCCTTCACTACACACCTTAAGCTGTTTCATACTCAGATGTCCATATTGCATAGCATTCCACAACCACTACTTAAGAGTGGAATGCAGTCTCCTCTACTATCATCGAGCCTCATCGTGCCCTTCTTGTCTATGCTATCCTGTCTCTACAATGATGTACATAACCACGAGTATGCGGAGATACGATACTGTGTACTGCCCTGGTACTAGGGGCATATCCTAGTGACAGACGCTGTGAAATTGTAGAGGTGCTTGGCACAAGAGAGACTCTGATTAATGTTTATATTAAATTGTATTGATATGAGTAATCAGTAATAATGTGAAAGACATTAATGCAACTCCTAGTGCGACCGTTTGTCGTGTTGGGGGGGTGTTGCAACCCCTGAATGGGCTGCAATGATTATTATGTATATATATAATTATTATCTTTTCAAATAATTTTATATTGCTTACATTTGCGATAATAGCTAAGTCGTAAATGTATTGCTTTATATTGTTATTTGACGTAGTTATGTTGTTAGGTAGGATGTTACATATTATGTGCCCAGTTCAAGTCTTGATTGTCTAACTACTGTAATTATCACTTGTGGCTCGTTTCCCTGCTGGCTTCTCATTGTTGCTGGGCAGCGACCCATGGAGCTATCACGTGACTGAGTGGGGGAGGGTGTCCTCACCTCACCTGAAGTATTCAGTCTGGTCTAGACTCTCTTGGTGGTCGGACAGATTGTCTGTCTCATTATTCTTGTTAGTTCTGTAGAACTCTGTTCACAGAACATTGTATAGACTTAGTGATTTTCGACGTTGTACTGAGGTTGTGTGTCACATAGACACTCGAAAACATCTCAGGTCCTGAGCTGTAGCTTCTGACCTAATTTGTACTGGTATCTGTGTATTATCACAGTCGGGGATTTTCTTATGCTGAACTTAGATTCAGTAGTATGGGAGTTTTGTGACTTTTGTGGAGGATCTGCAGATGGTCCCTACTTAGTGTCGTTATATTATCTCCTTGTTCCTGATTCTGTGTCGCAGTTGCTTGTTATATTGCTATTGGGCTTAGCATTCTTTTTATTGTTCAGGCAGACTGTTCTGGTTGCCAGTCAGTCAAGAAGTTTAGTTTTTTGTGAGGACTTTGTCAGTCACTTGTTTTAAGTCTAGTCGAGTCTTGAGACATAGCGAACTACTTAGAGCACTTACACACATACACACAAACTTGTACATATCTGTAATATCTTATTAAATGTAAATGTACCAGACGGTACTCAAGAATTATAAATGTGATATGTGCTTTTAGCACAATAATACTGTACTCGAGAGAAGTGATTTTTTTTTTTATGTGAAAAATTTTAATTTTAAAATTTGTTACCCCTAGACAACTTAATGACTAATAAATTTATTAAATTTTAATTTCTCTAGTTAGTAGCCTACCAGTTGTAATCCTGAAGCACTATTGAATCATACTAAATTCTAATGGATAATTGGAAAAGGATACTGACTACTTGTTACGAAAACCCAGTAACAGGCTGGAAGCTAGAAGGGCAGTCCTTTCTAGTATTCACTGGAGATTTCTAAGCTTTTAGAATCGCGTTTTTTGTAACAGTTCCACAGTGGGGAAAGGGGTGCTAGAACTATTGGTGCCGTTGCAGGGTTCACTACTAGTGCAATGTATGGAGTCCCTTAGCCTCGGAGAAGTAAGTGAAATGTCTTCCAGTAACAACAACTAGCTCTGCTGGGTGCATGGTTCTTGTAGGATAGCTGGTTAAGTAGTTAAGGCACTGTGAACATTGTTCTGTCTCTTGAGGAGAGAGAATGTGACACAGGATCTAATCCTGGGTGGCAGCAGTTTGGTAAATGATTCAGTATATACATATATATATATATAATATATATATATATATATATTATATATATATATATATAATATATATATATATATATATATATATATATATATATATATATTATATATATATATATATATATATATATATGTCGTGCCGAATATGTAAAACTGGTCAATTAGCAAGAACTCATTTAAAATTAAGTCCTTTCTAAAATTTTCTCTTATACGTTTAAAGATATATTTTTTTCATTAATGGTAATGAAAAAAATTTAATTTTGCACCAAAAGAATCTTAGAAAACTTACCTAACCCTTTTTATAAAAAGAAAAAATTTATTTTAGCCTAACCCAACTATATATATTTTAGATTTGTTTACAATAATTTAATACTAAGCAAACCCAGTGAAAAATATTTTTTTCGTTAGGTTCAGAATGATTTTGGCGAAATTATTGCATACACAAATTTTCACTTGTCCTATATGGCAAGATGAGCGTTGCTATTTAAGCCAAGATCGCAAGTTCTGCCTATTCGGCACGACATATATATATTTGTGGCCATATCCCACAAAGGCAGGATTTTACCTGGAGAGGATTTAGGGGCTCACCAAACCTGCGGCTTGGTCTGAGATCAGGCCTCATGGTGGATGAGTGTCTGATCAACCAAGCTGTTACTGCTGGTCCCACGCAAGTTGACGTACAAACCACAGCCCGGTTGATCAGGTACTGACTTTAGGTGCCTGTTCAGTGGCTTCGTAAAGACAGCCCGGGGTCTATTGGTAATCCCCCTGTGTATGTGGAGGCAAGTTGAACATTTTGGGCCCCACACTTATTGTGTGTCCTCCCCCCTTATCGGTGGGATCCTGGTTTTCATCGGGGGATTTGCATCTCCTGCCGATTCTTTTGCTTTCATAGGGGTGATTTTCGGTGCAGGTTTGGGACCAATCCCTTCCAGGACCCTTTCCAAGTGTAATTATCATGTATCTCCTCGCCTGCATTCCAGGGAATACAGATCAAAGGACCTTCAAACCGTTCCAGTAATTTAGGTGTCCCTTTCGGTACTTATGTTGCTGTGAAAGTTCTTTGTCAGCTCCCGGGCTGCAATGTTGCCTGCTTTAAGGGGGGGCCCTTAGGTACAGCTTGGCGTCCTAGTTTTGAAAGGGACTTTTATCCATCCTATCATTTTCTGAGCAGATGAGGTGAACACATTGCGTGGTCTCTGAAGGCGATTCTCCCGAACATTATCACTCCAGGCCTTTTACAATTTTCTTTCCCGCTCTATTGTATGGTTTTGAATTTTTTGTATACCCTGAAACTTTTAATTTCCTCAGGTTTCCCATATCTGAGTAGTTTAAATTTCTCCTCATTGAACTTCATATTGTTTTGAGTGACCCATTCGAAGTTTTGGTTGATGTCCGCGCTGAGTCTTGCGGTGTCTTCGATGGAGGTCACTGCCATGTTAATCCGGGTGTCATCCGCAAAGGATGTCTGAAATGAGGATGAGGAATAGAATGGGAGCGAGTACTGTTGCCTTGTGGAACAGAGCTTTTACCATGGCTGCCTGGGACTTTACTCTGTTTATTATTATTCTTTGTGTTCTGTTTATCAGGAAGTTATAGATCCATCTACCAACTTTTCCTGTTATTCCTTTATCACTCATTTTGTGTACTATTACACCATGGTCACACTTGTTGAAAGCTTCTGCAAAGCCTGTGTATACTACATCTGTATTTTGTTTATCCTCTACAGCATCCAGGACCTTGTCATAGTGGTCCAGTAGCTGGGACAGGCAGGAGAGACCTGCTCTAAACCCATGTTGCCCTGGGTTGTGTAATTGATGGGTATCTAGATGGTTGGCGATCTTGCTTCTTAGAACCCTCTCAAAGATTTTTATGATATGGGATGTTAGTGCTATCGGTCTGTAGTTCTTTGCAATTCCTTTACTGCCACCTTTGTGGAGTGGGGCTATGTCTGTTGTTTTTAGTGTGTGTGGGATGACCCCTGTGTCCATGCTCCCTCTCCATATAATGCTGAAGGCACGCGATAGCGGCTTCGTGCAGTTCTTGATGAACACGGAGTTCCATGAGTCTGGGCCTGGGGCAGAGTGCATGGGAATATCATTTATTCTCTTCAAAGTCTTGTGGAGTTAGGTTAATATCCGAGATTTCTGAGATGACCAAATTTTGGGTTTCGTTCATAAAGAATTCATTTGGATTGTCGACCCTTAGTCTGGGCAGCGGCTCGTTGAACACTGAGCCATATTGGGACTTTAGTATCTTATTCATTTCTTGGCTATCATCTGTGTATGTCCCATCCCGCCTAAGCAGGGCACAATACTGGATGCTGTTTTTCCTTAGATGACCCAAAATGAAAAACAAAAGTTTCTCTTTTTAACTTCAGTAATATTAAATATACACAGGAGAAGGGGGTTACTAGGCATTTTAGTCGGGAGCAAGGGAAGATTTCTGTTCCATTTCCAGATGGAGATAAGAAGATATAAAAAGAAGAACTAGTAAGAAAATAGAAGAAAGCCTAGAGGGGTGTGTATAAAGAAGTGTGTGTAAGTAGAAATAGCAAGACGTACGTGAAATCTTGCATGTTTATGAGATGTTACATGTTCATGATGTGTATTATAAACGAGCGTGATAAATTAATGATACCAAACTGTGATGACATATTATGGTGAAATTATCTTCAAATTATTAATAACAAATGAGTGTAAAAGATGCATATAAGTTTCTCTGATCATTTGCTCATTAATATATAAACAGATTCTGCTTACCGTAAACTGTGGATGAACTAAATTCACAAACTGAAAAACATTGTCTGTCACAGTCGTGGTCGTTCATGTAATACATCTCATCTCGAAAGAGTTCGATACAGAAGCCATCTCCAGTAGGCTCGTGCTTGGACCGCGTAGCGGACCAGAAAGGTGTTCCACTAGGAACTTCCTCGCCTGTAGAGTAACGGAATACTCCGTTACTGCTGTCTCTGGTGCCATCCATCCAATATGTGTAGCTGGTGTCTCCTGTAATGTTCCCTCACATTATAATCGAATGGTAAATAAAATTTCATTTACAGCATTATAATTGAAGGTATAAAATTGCCATTGAATTCATTTTGTATAAAACGTGGCTTTGAAGTTGCAAATACTATACAGACATAATGACACCATCAGTCACACACATGTGTGACTGATGGTAAGGACAGGCATACTGACACCATCAGTCACATGTGTGACTAAGGCTACATTATTAACCCTAATATTATTTACTAACAGTTTAAACCTACGTAAGACCACTTTAAGGTGAAAATCTGTCAAATAGTTTGTGTGTAAACTCAATGCCTGCCATTTGGGTTTGCTTCGGTTGGATGTTAAGGGTTCCCTAAACTCCATCAGTTTATGAATCCAGTGGGCGGGTCACTTATTTACGAACGAATCCGGTTGGTGGAATTTCTGGATTCCAATAAATTTCCACAGGAGGTGTTTCCTTATGACACCTGCTATCCATGTTCACCTAGCAGTAAAATAGGTACCAGGATGTTAGTCGACTTGTATGGTCGCATCCTGCGGACAAAATTGACTTAATTTGCCCTAATGCTCTTCATAACAAGAGACTTTCTATATAGTGCTGTGTCATTGATTGTAGCTTGGTCTGTATACCTTGTACATGTACTTGTAGAAAGATTATTATTATTATTATTATTATTATTATTATTATTATTATAATTATTAGTTATTAATTAGTATATTTTTAATATTATTATTATAATAATAATAATAATAATAATAAATAATAAATTAATAATAATAATAATAATAATAATAATAAAATTTTTATTATTATTTATTATTTTTTATTATTATTATTGTATTTAAAAGTAATAAAATAGTGTTAAGCACAAAAGTAAGACACTAGCAAGCTGTGAAAATTGGGCAGACATAAGAAGCATGTCACTCTGCGGCACTTTAAATATATAATAGGCTATTATAGACAATTTCATTATATCATCTATGACAAGTTTTCGAAACTATATAATTTCATCTTAAAATACAAAAATAAATTGATATAAGTGTGAGTTGGGGCAGCCAGGCGAGCGTACAGAAGTATACGATAGAGAGTAATACCAATAGGACGCTCTCTCTGGTCCACTACCACCAGAGAAACTCTGTATATTATTGGGGGAACCACAGAAAACCATTCATTTCCTATGACTTAAATGTTACCTGTCCAACAGAAAGCCGTCTGTGTTGTTCCAGGGACATAGAAGTGTAACTAAAGATTTTGAATTAGGAACCCCACAGGGAGGTGTGCTCAGTCCCACACTGTTCAATATTCTAATTAATGCATTACTTAATGCTATGCCTAGTCACCCCATCATTATGTGATTAGTTTTGCTGATGATATAATGATTCACACCACCGGATTCTCCAACACACAAAACATTCTTAATCATGTCCTAGCCTCGTGTCAGGACCTGGGGTTGATAATCTCTGCTGATAAAACAAAGATACTCAATAGGCGTCCTCCTCGACAGAGAGGCACAGTTCTTCAGATCCAGTTGCATGATGGGTCTCTTCTGGAATATGTAAGCTGATACAGGTATCTAGGCTTTGAGGTTCCACTACTTGGACCTGTTGTAACAAGACTTTGTCGCCAATACAAAGAAAAACTGAGAGTTATGGCAAGTTTTCATCCCAGGTATGGTGCTAATGTTAAAATTGTGAAAATGATGTATCTTGCTTATATTAGATCATTGGTTGATTATGCTGCGCCACTACTTGCTCTTGTGTCTGACTGGAAGCTTGGAGGGCTGGAAAAACTGCAGAACGAAGCAATGAGGATCATCCTAGGATGCCCTCGTACTACCAAAATTTTAAATATGCAAAAAGAACTTGATATTCCAAGCATCAGAGATCGTGTTACTGAAAGAAATATCCTAATTGGGGTTAATATGCTCAGGCAGCCCATTCAAACCCCTGCACAGAAGCCCTCCAAACTTTCCTCAGCACTGGTGAACACTCCTCCAGATGGATCGAAAAGACTGGAACCGACCTCCGCATGAATCAGATACATGATCTATGTCAAGTAAGGCAACAGCGGCACTTCTCCGCTCCATGGGATATTACCCCGTTCCAGACTACCATTCCTCCATTTCTTCCCCAAACTACTTCTTAAATCACAACCAAAACTTCGCCTTGAAGCCAAACATGATGCTTTAAGCTGTATTGATAACTTAGTCACACAGCACACACTCTCGCAAATTATTTACTTTGATGGTTCTGTTCACCAATCCACTGGTGCAGCTGGTAGTGCTGCTGTTGTACAGAGTGATGGCTCTCTAAAAGAAACTGGAGCACGCATCAATAATTGGGCCTCTACCCTTCAGACAGAACCGTTTGCCATACTCCTTGCACTGAAATGCATCTATGTATCTAAGATTGACAATTTAATTGTAATTGATTCTCTGTCATCCATAAATGCTCTCAACTCATTAAGCATAAATTGTGGCATGCTTGTGTCAGAAGCCAGACACAGATATGGTAAGATTGTGGACAGTGGAGTCAGAGTGCACATGCTGTGGATTCTATCTCACATTGGTCTTCGGGTGCATGATAGAACTGATAAATTGGCTAAGCGGGATGCTTTCAAAGAGGGTAGATTACAATCTTGGTTGTCAGATAGAGTTTGTGTTACAAGAATTTGCCTTCCATGAACCCATGTGGTTTCATTTATACTTCTTGTTCCTTTCCAGAGGTGTTCGTCCACTCTCCTCCTGTTAATCTTCTCCATGACTATGCACACAATACATGTCAGAGACACAGGTCTGTAGTTTAGTGCTCGTTTCTGTTTCCTTTCTTAAATTATGGGGGACTACTTTTAGCTGTCTTCCATTTCTCAGGTAGTTTGTCCAGTTTCAAGGGATGTGTTGAAGATTGTGTGGTTAGAGGCACGCCACAGCATCTCTGCTCCTTCTCTAAGGACAAATGGGGAGATGTTGTCCGGTCCCATCGCCTTTGAGGTGTCAAGGTCACTTAGGAGCTTCTTCAACCTCTTCCTCAGTTGTTCGGATGTCATCCAAACCCTTGTTGGTATATTCCCCATTGCATGTTCCCTTCTGTGCTGTTTTCAACAGCCCTTCATGTCTCTACTGTAAAAAAACTTCTTAAATCTCCTGGTCTTTCTCCTCACATAATACGTGGTTCATTTCTTGTGAGTTTCAACCTTCTGTCCTTAATTGATAACTGGTCTTTGGGAATGTTGTCTACCTCCTGATGTGGACTATACAACAGTTTCGGGTTGTCTTGATTCTCTCGATGCTATGTTATTTTCTACTGTCGCCTGGGGCCTCCTCCTTACCTGTGCATATCATTCCGGCTCTGCGCTGGATCTCCCTATGTTCGTGTGTTCTCTCGCCTTCTGTCTTTTTTCCATTCTTATTGCACTTTGTTTTCATTTACTCCTTACACCGTGGGTAATCGGGGGCTAGTATCTGGTCTTCCGTTGTTACTGTTGCCCTTGGGATAATAAACTTTCAACTGCCTCCTTGAATTTTGTTGTTACTTATTCCATCATTTCATTTACTGGCTTTCTGCAGTTCTCTGTCCCACTGGACCGACCGCAGGAAGGTCTTCAACCCTGTGTAGTCCCCCCTCTTTTATAGTTCAGGCTGTTTCCCATTCAACTCCTGTTATTCTCTACACTTGCAGCTTACTGGTATTCAAAGCACAGAACCACGTGGTCGCTTGCTCCTAGGGGATCTCATACTTGTTGTTCTCAATGTCTGAGCTTGCCCAGGGTGATCACAAGTCCTAGCTTGCTGGTTCATCCTCCCCTCTCACTTGGTAGTGTCCTTAAACATGTTGGTGCATGAGGTTTTCCAGACCACGTCCAACATCCTGGCTCTCCATGTTTCGGGTCCCATGTGGCTCCAGGTTTTCCCAGTCAATCTCCCTGTGGTTGAAAATCCCCATAATAACCAGCACTTTGACTTCTGGCTGGAGTGAGCTCTTCTTGCCCACCTCAGCAAGTGTGTCCACCATTGCTCTGTTTGCTCTCTTCATATTCTCTCTTGGCCTCATCCTGCTGTTCTATGGTGGATTATACATCACTGCAATGACCACTTTGTGTTACCCAGATGAAAGTGTAACTTCTTTGTAGTCTCTTTCTCCCGTCTCTCCTGTTGCCTTCCATTTTTCTCGAATTTCCATCTGTTTTTTTACGAGCAAGAGCAACCCCACCTCCCACTCTGCCCCTTCTTTCTTTCCTCATGATTGGTATCCTGGTTGGGAAGATTAGCAATATGTTTTTGTCTCCGTGAGTTTTGTTTCTGTAACTGCTATGATGCTCTGGGGACTTATCTTTCCCATTTGATTCTTTCTCTGACCATTCCTCAAGTTAATCCATCTGATTTGTGTACCAAACCTTCAACTTCTGTTCTAATACTGTAACTGTGGTGTGGGGGTGGGGAACAGAGGGATCGGTGTGCGATGGGTTGGTTTGGATTGTTCAGTTGCCTTGGGGGGTGTCGTGGATGGAGTCACTTCTGCAGGTGTTTCTGGGGGAGTGTGCATGTCCTTCCATTTGATCCTGGGTTTTTCTGCTCTCCTTTTTAATTTCCTCCCATTTCTCCTTTCGTTTTGAACTCTCTTTTCATCGTTTCCTTTCGTCCTGTGTTCTGTCTCGATCGAGAGGTTACACATCCGGAACTCCTGCTTGCCTCTCAGCCGTGCTTTCTCCTGCAGGATCATGCCGTTCGGGTTGGGTTGTTGTCAGTGAGGTGTGTGGTGTGTGTGACCTCAACAATCAATATTTGCACCACTACATAACTCATTATAGTTGTGAACCGGGGTGTGGCAGTGTTGATTGCTCATTACTCTATAATTTGTTCATGATTGTAGCCATGTATAACGTAAGTATCCATTCTTACAGGATCTCATTACCTTTGTAACTTGTGAGTTTCATTACCTTTGTACATAGTTCAGTTATCAAAAACTTTGGGGGCCCGTCCTGGACCCTATTACGT